GTTTGCAGACTCAAGCTATTTCACTCGTGATTGGAGGCTAGCAATAGGAGGAAGCCTCTTTTGCAGAGACAAAGTATGGGCAGTCTTGCAACTGTGCGGTTCTCTCCTTGGCTGACTTCCTTGCATAAGACGCCCTTCAATTTTTAGCGTAAGGATTTTAGAAAAAAGTATCATCTTATAGTCGGAAAAATACGGTAATCAATAGGAGGAAGCCTCTTTTGCAGAGACAAAGTATGGGCAGTCTTGCAACTGTGCGGTTCTCTCCTTGGCTGACTTCCTTGCATAAGACGCCCTTCAATTTTTAGCGTAAGGATTTTAGAAAAAAGTATCATCTTATAGTCGGAAAAATACGGTAATCTTTTACTGAATCTGAAATACTGCCAGCATTTTCTACTTCTGAACTTTGATTTTTATCATTAAATCATTTTCCTGGACATTGAAAGATGAAGACAACTTCTCTATTAGGTATGTGAAAAATATTACTGGCAGAGGAAGCCACAGAATCCAGAGCTTTTGTCAAAACAATCAAGACAAGATTCCTGCAAGGCCACCACACATGTACAAAAGGGGCAAGCTTGCATTGCATCAACATAATGCCCCTGGCATCTCTTGTCACAAGAGATCAAATGTTTATACATTTCAGTTCCTTAACTGTTTGCATGTTAGTTTATTTCTTGCTCTGCTGTAGTTCTGAACACACACCAATTTATTTTGCATTTTAACCATTTTATGTATTATTTACAAAGAAAAACCTAGGAAATAGATCCTAATTTTTTCCCCCCAAACATTCATAAAGGAACAAACAAAAGTCTTGGAAAAAATAGCGAAAAAAACAGTCCATTCCCCAATTCTACCCTCCCTTCCTTTGCATCTCTACGTAAAGTATACACAATGATCAAGAAATCACAAGTTTATTCAGTATCAGTAATGTATTTCTGTAGATCTACATCTCACTGACAAAGCACTAGAACAGTATTTTACAGATATAAATAGTTTAAACATATCTAAACCAAATTGTGTACTTTAGGGGTAGACAATTTATGGTCCCTGTATAATTTCACAGAAGGAGGGCACAACCTGCAGTTATTCCAGGGACAATCATATAAACCCAACTGATTGTGATTCAAGAATGCAGTCAATTCTGCAAGTATCCAGGTGCTAAGCCATAGAGGAATTCATAGGTCAAAAACAGCACTTTGAATTGCACCTAGAAACCAATTGGGAACCATTGTAGAGCCTGAGGCACAGGTACATTTTGCTCTAGGTGCAAATTACCAGGTAGCAAATAGGCCACAGCATTCTACATTAATTGCAGCTCCCAGGTGGTCTTCAGAGGCATCTCTATGTAGAGCACACTGCAGTAGTCCAGATGATCAATGATGATGGTATGAGTTAGTGTGGGCCGCTAAGCCATGTGCCTGTTTCTTTAGGGGTAGTACTTCTCCATCAAAAAAGAACACTGGTGTCAAAAGGGAACGTTGATGTACAAACAATTCCATCTTGCTTGGGTTCAACATCAGTGTGTTTCATCCTATCCAGAACCATTATGGCCTCAAATAATGCAGAGAGTAAGGAAGATTGAAAGATGGACACATGTAAGATCCAGTACCAGAGTGATGTGGGGTGAAACATATTTTAAGTCCACAACAGAGAGAAAATATTTGGAAGAAGCTCAGACAAACACCTCCCTAACTCCTAGGAATAGAAGAAAGGGAAGGAGGTACAGCACAATCAGACTTGCAAGATTCTGTTATTATAGCCAATTTCAATAAAAGTAATTTTAGTCTTCCTGCAGAATTAATTTCTTGGTCTTGTCTACCTACCAGAGTTGACGTCAACTTGCAAGTCTGATTGTGCTGTACCTCCTCCTCTTTCTTATAGTTCAGTGAATTAGGGAGGGGCCTGTCTGAGCCACTTCCAAATATTATCTGTCTATTCTGTTTCATCCCGTTGCCCTCATAATGGATCTTGCATATTACCATCAAAGTCATCTTCCTTACTCTCTACACGCTGCAACAAAACTTCAAGTTCATGCATCACCAGCATGGCCTGGGGTAGCAATATACAGTTGGGTATCATCAGCATATTGATGATACTGTATCCTAAACTGATAGGTGACCTCTCCCAGTGGCTTCATATAGATGTTAAAAAGTAGGGGGAGAGGATTGAGCAGTGAAGCACCTCACAAGAAAACAGACACCAGGCCAACCTCCCCCACTGATAACTAGTGACTGGAACAGCTTGCTCAGGAAGGAGTGGAACTAGTGTGGCTCAGTGCCTCCAAACTCCAACTCTTGTAAGTGGGCCAGAAGAATACCATGATCAATAGTACAGAAAGCTGCTGAGATGTTTAATAGGATCAAAAGGGATGCACTCTCCCAACTATGTCCCAAGAAAGGTAACTAATTAAAGCTTCCAACGCCATCTCCATCTTATGCCCAGGCATGAACCCTAACTGGAAAGGAATGCAGATAATCCATTTAGTCTAGGATGCTTTGCAGTTTACCTTTGCCCCTCTTTCAATAAACTTCCCCAAAATGATAAGATTAGTGATTGGCCTATAGTTGTCCAACAGAGCTGGATTCAGGGAGGGCTTCTTGAGAAACAACACATCAGGGCCTCCTGGAGAAAGAAACTGACAACTTCCTGGATCCAGCTGGTCACACACAGGAGCCAGAAAGGACATAGATCAAGCCCATAGGTGGTAGGGAACATTCTAAAGAGCATCCTATCAATGTTATTAGTGCTCACAGGCCAAAAACAAACAAACAAAACCCCATAAATAACATGAGTTGATGTTGTTCTATCACATTGTACTCCATCTATAAAGAGTCAAGACTTTTTGTTTTGAGAGCTTTCCGGAAGGTCATAAGGGTTGGGGCTAACCTCACCTCTGGGGGGATGATGTTCCAAAGGGTGGGTACTACGGCAGAAAAGGCTTGCCTCCTAGGCCCCATCAGGTGGAATTCTTTGGCGGATGGGACCCACAGTGTGCCTCTCCTGCAGGACCTGATGGGTTATAATTTCATAATTATAGCAGGAAGGTCCCCTTTCCTCTATTTTATCCTGAAATATTTGTATATTCTTCAGAGGAGGTTGGCTGCAAAAATTTGATCATTCTAATTATTTGCTGCCACCTTTCTTCAACTGATGAAAAAATATATTTTTTTAAAAAGTAGAGGTAATTCTATCATGTACTTATAATTAGGTTAAGATCTTCATAAGACCACCTATTTTTCCACTGGAAAAGAAGGATTAGAAGAAGTCATCAAGCTGAATTCATATACTGCTGGAGATTCAAAAGGATCTGGTCACTCTCTTGACTCATCCATCCCCTTTCTCATTTTGTAGATGGTGGCAGAAGGTGAAAATCCTGTCAAGAAAACTGCAGGGATTAGTCCAGGAGTCAACACTGACTTGGGCACAAAAAAAAAAAAAAAAAGCAGAAGGTGAAGATAGGGCCTAGTGCTTGGCCATGCCTCAACAGTTTCTGCAATCCTGAGGAATGTATGAATGGATACAAAGATGATTACTAAAATTAGATATTCTTTTTTTTAAAAAAAAGCTCAGAACAAAAAAGCCATTATAATGTTAATGTATCTTGTTTTGTGCCCTGAAGGTAATTAGACTTTGGCTCTGATGCCAGAGGAATTCAGGTAGGGGGAGTAGACTTAAGCCCTGACATAAAAATAGTCAGCAATCAAGAATCTCATAGTTGAATTTAAAACAATATCAGGACAAAGTTTCCTATCAATAATTCTCCTTTTCTTTTTTCCTACTCTAAAAACTAGCTACTTTTCTACTAGATCAAATTAACTGAATTTGTGACTTATATTACTGAAGTAGTGGAAAACCTTCATAAATTTTAGCATTCTTTTGGATTTAATAACTAGTTATTCATGCTCAATGGCTTGGGCATATCCATAGATTTTTTTTATTGCTGTTATCCACCTAATGAGTCACATCAGTCTTTTGAACTAGTGTAGTTAGCTTATAATAAAGCCTCGGTTTCATCCTTCTATCTATTCCAGAGATGTTGCATAAATATGGAAGACTTGTTTAAACAAAAACAGCAAAATCCAACTCTGGTAATCAAAATGTGACACTTCTTTTAGTTTAGGGCACTTCTACATAGCACAATTTTCATCCCCCTTTCTCTCACAAACCATTTTAAAGTCAGTATTCAAACATCTTCACTGCTGCTGACCTTGAAATGCTGAGAACAGTCTGAGAACACCAGTAGCCAATCAGTGCTCCTGCCAACTGACCATTAAGAGAATTCAAAAAATAAGACTCTCACAGTATATTGTCCCCTGAGCCATAGCTCCTGATGTAACAGAAAGCTCACTTCCGCTCCAAACAGATGAAAAATAAAATAAAATGTTACCACACACCACTTACAACGTTTTTAGCTGACTGGGGGAGACCCAATTTCTATGCAATCTCCATTTCTTCTGATTTTGATTAGGATACTGGAAGGAAAGCATAGCATCATTTTTGTAAACAAATATTATTTATAATAGCTTCAATTGTGGTAGCAATTTAGAGCCACTATATTTATGTGTATTGAAGGAAGTAATTGCTGGCTTCAGCCTAGAGCCTGGGAAGAGAAATGAGACAAGTGTTCAATGAACATTGCTTATATAAAAAGAGAAAATCAAGTTGGGCAGGTTTGGGTATGTTTGTTTTTAAACAGGGACTGTGAAACTGACTAGAAGGATTAAGATTAGGTTAGCTGATAATGCTTGCTTATGTAACCAGAGAAAAACTAAGTTTGTTTTTAACAGAGATGTGAAACTGACTAAAACCTGACTAGAATGATTAAGATCCAGTTGGCTGATAAGGTTGCCTTTATTCTTTCCTCAGAATAATTACAATGCAACAGATACCAAACAAGTTCTTGTTTACACCCAGAAGCTAGAAGACATTGTGATACAAGACTAAAGCCAATAGAAGAACTGACTGTTCACAAGACTCTGTTGCAAAACAAACAAACAAAGCCAGCTTTACTCTGATTTCAGATGAACCAGCAAGGAAACAGAAAAATGCCAATTCAGCCATCAGAATGAACTGATGTCATAGAACAAGCTGGTCCAGAGCTACTGGGAACAGCAGAAGCAGTTTGTGCAAAGAGATCCTTCATCTATTATCAAGAATACACATTATTTTAACTGAGTAAGTATAAATGATATAAAATGTTCCATGATTGTATAATGAAAAGGCTGTAGCCCTTTCTTTAATGAACATTACTCTATCTGGGGGATAAGAATATCTTCCAGTGAAGGATCTCCTTCATAAGATCCAGTGGTTCCTAGTTTGAATTACTGCTATGGTAGACATACTTAGCTGGGAGTAATTCCTCTGAGCACAATTGGAGGCCTTAATTTTGAATCAAAATGCATAGTACTGCACTGTAGTTCTTTTGAAGTTATGGAGCCAGCATTTCCAAAGTAAGAATTCTAAAAATCCTTTGTTTGCAGTCTTTTCTAATCTCCATAATAACATAAAATAAGTTGTGTTGGTCCAGATGTGAGATGGAATATTATAATCTATTGAGGGGCACCTATGGAGGAGGCCAAGGGGCCAATAGTAGGCACAACTGCACAATTGAACCTCTACCCCCTTGTTTGTGTGTTGATGTAGCATTTTGATCATGTTGTTGCACCTGCCATTTTGGCCCCTAGCCCCAAACCACAGATGCCCTGAACAGTCCAGTGAATATGAATAAATACCTATTCCAATCAATCAGATACACTTCATGGCCTACCATCATCACGGAAACTGAAACCATTAGTTGCTGTTACAAATAAATTCACCAAAGAATAAAGGTAAATGGAAAACAGTAAATTCCCACAACAAGTGCAGTTAATTTGCATGCTAATAAGGTACGCTTAAGATTTTGCAATCCAGACTTCAACAAAATTATATAAACCAAATAAACAGATGAAATAAATAAACAAATAAAAAGAACAAGCTGGTTTCAGAAGATGCAGTGGCTCCAGGACCACATTGTAAACATCCAGTGGATAATGGAGAAGGCAAGAAAGTTACAAAATATATTTATTTTTGCTGTATTAATTGTACTATAGATTTTGACTGTGTAAATCACAACACATTGTGAATAGCCCTTAAAATATGGGTGTATTGGACTAACTTACCTTCATACTGAAGAATTTGTATGCTGACTAGGAAGGAAAAGTTAGAATGGAAAAGAGAGAGCGAAAGGTGAGTAACATCATCCTGCCTAACTTTTGTGCAGAACATGTCATGAGAAATGTTGGATTAGAAGAAACAGAAGTTGCAATTAAAATTGCTGGAAGAAATATTAAGAACCTCAGATATGCTGCAACCTTTTGGTGAGGGTAAAAAAATGCATAAATGCTGATCTGATGCTGAATATTAAAAAACCCAAGCTTATGTCAAATGGAAATAGCGCAGTACCAATCCACTACAAATAGGTGAAGAAACAGTAGAAACAGTAATAGACTTTATCTTCCTGTGCTCAAAAAACTATAGGGATGGTAACTGTAACTATTACCTTTTAAAAATCTGCTCTTTGGGAGAAAGAAAAATCAAACAGCAAATTCAGACAAAATATTAAAGAGCAGAGACACCATACTTACAACAAAAGTACATATTGTGAAGGTTGTGAAAGCTGGACTATCAGAAAGCCCAGATGAGGAAAAATGGATGCCTTTGAACTGTAGTGCTGGAGGACATAATTGAGGGTCTCTTGGACTGTAACAACAACAAATAATTCAATGTTAGATTAAAGTGAGACCAAACAGTTACTGGAAGCACTAATAATGAAGTTGAAGCTTATGTTTCAGACAATTAATGTGGAACCAAGAGTCTTTGGCTAAGAGACTGATGCTTGGAAAAATCAAAGACATAATAAAAATGGTTGGCAGAAGACAAGATGACTAGTCACTATCACTGTTATCATAAACATGTTTATAAAAACTCAGAGAAGTTGTTACTGACAAATAATTCTGACATACCATTGTTAATTAGGTCAGATGAATCAGAAGTGGCTTGATGATTAAAAAGCAGCACATTCATTAAAATCAAGGTACTTGTATGTGTCAGCTTGTGAATACAGTTTGACATGCAGAAACTCTATAAATTACTGGAAAGTAAAATGTTTACCTGCATTATAGTAATCTGATTTCAACACAGTCCTAAACCCATTTATTATGGAATAAGTCTCACTCAATAAAGTAGAAAATACTCTCAGGTTTCATAAGACAGCATTGTCAGATACTGAAACTTGTATGCTGGGTTTCTCCTTGTTCCTTTTTTTTTAAAAAAAGAACTGACAAAAACTGCATTATTTAATTTGGTCAATATACCATTTGAGTGAGCCATTTTCAAGAGCTACTAATCATTTTTAACGATTTTGGCACTGACGTTGTCTTTGCTAGAGAAGTTCAGTGCACCATTCCCTCTGGGAAAAAATGGGAAATAAGAAAAGGCAAGACAGATTTAATTCAAGAACAATACTATAGCTTGGAAAATAATAGCTCACAAATAAATTGACCTACTTCATATTCTTTTTATCAGATTTTCTGTATTATAATACTTGAGACTGAATGCACATTATCTTCTTCCCTTCTACTGTTCTGTTTTTCTTTTACTATTAAATATAGACAATGGATGGGATCAGGGGGAATGATAGGAACAAAATCTTGTGGAGATAGAATGGTGTAGCTTTCAGCTGCATGGTTTTGACCTTGGAGCTTGAAAAGAATCACTACAACTCATAACAAAACTTGCATGTGAAATCTCTTCTTCTCTCTCTCTTGGACAAGGTGGATAAATGTGGGCCTTGTGGTTTAATGGATTTGCAACTGGTTAATCAACTGCACCCAAGATGTGCTTGAAAATTGTTCTGCAACATCATGGAAGAGAGTATCAAATGGGATCCCCTAGGGCTTCATTCTTGTCCCAAAGTTATTCAAAATCTTCAAAAGCAGTTTAGAAGATAGAATGGAAGGGATATATAACAAGCTGGGAAAAGGAAACCCTTGAAATAGCATCATGCTCAATGGGTGAAAGTTATTTATTGAATGGAATGTGCTCTAGATAGCTAAGGCTTAACAAAGAAGAAAGCTTAGAATGCTTGCTGCTATAAAGGAATTTCCACCCAATTTACTCATTTCCTCATCTTCCAAGACTACAGCTACACCTAAATAAGAGGAAAATAAAATAAAATCCAAACCCTTTGTTCAGCAAGGGACAACCAAGTTACTTCCCAAGGGAGCTGCATGGGCATGGTACCTGGAGCCCATGTGTGAATTTTAATGCCCCATACATTTGACTTTTTATAGATTAAACATACTAAGACTACATGACCCAACATTATGTTTTATTTATAACCACCAGCTACAAGACATGATTATTCATATTACATATTGTCATGGATCCAGTCTTAAGAAAGAGCACAACACTGAGAAGAACTATGTTTATGGCAAGAAAGAGGGAACCCATACAATGGAAAAGCAAAGATTTTTATAGAAGTTAAGGGCTACAAGGTGGGAAATGTTAGGGATCTGATCTGCTGGCCAGTTTGGAGAAGCTAGGCAGGTCCTTGTTAGTGTACCTCGGGTTAGTTCTATTGTTAGACAAAATGGGGCTTTTAGGAGGGCAGCAGAGCTGAGGAAGTTCATTGTGAAGGAGATGGAATGTTGAAGTCATCAGCTGATGGAGGATGGAACAGTTGGGGTTTCTCTATGTTGCAATTTCCTTTTAAGGACTACCCTTGGGCTGTACTGTGAGCTGGTGAAGAGGCTTCTATTCTTTGGTTTGATGGGATTGCAGGGGGCAGGATCAATTTGGGACTGATAAAATTAGACAAAGAGATGAACTGGGTTTGACCCTGGTCATGTCCAAAAGATCGGGAGGAAAAGGATGGAACTTCCATTTTGTTTGCTAGGTTTATTTTCTCCATTACATTTTCTCCCTTTCGCTGCTTCTAGCAACAACCTTTAAGAATATCTGAATGGTTGGGGTCTTCTGAGGAATAGTTTTCTAGACTGAGTAGATGCAGGTAACAAGAAAAAGTGGTACGAGCAGGAAGAGCAGCACAGTGCCCATGGAGAAAGATCTAGCAAATTACTGTCTTGTCTCATTTGGGATGTTGAAAAAGATTGTTGCAAAAAGGGGGAGAAAAAAGAAGGGAAAGTTTGGGAGTCTTCTGAAAGGAGGAGAATGAGGTTTGAGAAGTGCAGGCTGTGTAAGAGGAGAGAGTTCTGGAGTAGGCACTGGTGTTGCAATATAGAATAAAGTGCAGAAGGGTATTAAAAGGACTGTCCTATGCACTGGTTTTAGCATGATTGCAGAGGTTGTGGGCTGGGAGGATCTCTCCTTGGCTAGAGGAGTCTGTATAGTCCTATTTGCCATCCCATTTGATTGGTCATAATCTTTTGCAAACTGTCTGAATTCATTGAACTAAACTGCAGTCCACTGTCTGTTATGACCTCTTCAGGGATTCCATGTGTGCAAAGAGATCAGAGTTTGACTAATAACAAACTTCCAGAAATGAAGAATAATAAACCAATCAATACAAGATAGGCTGCCAATGCTGTCAGCAGCATTGTGCGTCATAATTTGCATCCCCCCCTCCTGAGTCAGGAAGAAATTTTATCAGATTAAAGTTCTTTAACAATTTCACTTTAATTTCATTTCTGCCAGAATTTGAATGATTAAATGTAGGTCTTGGCTTAAAAGCTGAAGCCTTCATTCCCAATACCCAGAATTTGTTTACTTCTAAGTCTCATTTTCTGTACAATAGGAATCTTGTGTCTTATTCTCACCCTCCTTCTATCTCTATTTCTTTCCCAGCAAGGACATACAAAAATCCTTCACATATATGAATTAACACTTTAGAAAGACAGCAGGTAACTACATTCACCCTACCAATAACTTTTTCCCATAAGTCTATCAGTTTGCTCAAGCTCCTTATATCTGGAGATATTCAAGATATTCTTGAAAATCATGGGAAGCATTAAAATAGGGGTTTTTTTCCCAGCTGATCAAAAATATGGCACAGGATGGCTGTTCTTTGTAGCTCTACTACCTAAAGTACTTTTCCTTTTCCAGTTTCCAGGGAATACACTTGCCTAAGGAGAATGCTTAACTGTTCCAACCCTGTGTTCTTTGCTCCAAATCTGTATCCATATTCTCTTCTCTGATTTTCCCTACTTACACAAATCTTTTCCTAAATGATCTTTGCCTTAAATTCAGTTTTTTAAAGCATCATAATTTGACATCTCTCCTTGATCACACATCAAGTCACACATTGTCTCTGCACTGCTCAAATTCAAAATATAATTCTCTTAACTGGATCAAGCATGCATCTCTTTCAATTCTTTCCTTTCTTTCCCATTGTTAAACTACTCTCTCCCTTTAATCTGTTAACATTGCCTAAAGACTTCTGCTCTCTATTCACTCTAATCTTCTAAAATTTTCAAATCACATTTAAAGGGTAACCACATCACTCTCTTTCCATATTTGCAAGAATCCACCCAGTTTTATCCATAATTAGATTATATTGGTGTCATTTGTCAACCAGTACTATCTAATTTGCTTTAGAAGCCATCTTAACTGTCAGAAAAATAGCTTCCCTAACCCTTAGTCACCTCTCACTTGGACTATGGCAGTGCACTCTACACAGGTTCCCCCTGAAGAGCATTCAGAAGCTACAACTGGTCCAGAATGTGGTGGCTCAAGTAATTATAGGCATTGTCCAATTTGCCCAAAATGACACTAATATCTCAAGATCAGCATTGGTTGCCAGTTGGCTTCCAGGTGCAATTCAAGGTAGTGGTTGTCACCTTTAAAGCCCTTAGTGTTCAGGACCTGGATATATGTAGCACTACCAACTCCCAACAGTAACTACCCATCCAATAAGAACTGGTAGAATGGGCTCCCTTCAGGTCCCTTTACTCAAGGAATGCTGTCTCCAGGAACCATGAAAACAAGTTTTCTCAACTGCCAAATAGCCCTTTCCATTCTGGTTTTCAGGAAGGCCATTAAAGAATGGTTAATGGTCCATCAAGCCTCAGGGGGCTGGAACACTGGGATCATGTTCCTCAGTTAGTGGAAGGTCTTTTGATTTGTGTTTATTTTTATGATTGTCCCCAGTGCTATATGTAGGTTGTGTAATATTTCTGATTTGTTTTCACATTATTATATTGTGTTTAACCCAATTTATGAAGGTTGGGAGATATGCTGCTGAGAGCTATTCATGACTGGAGTAGCCTATAAGCCAGTAAAATAAATAAAAACAAGCACCCCCACACACATGCACACACAACCCAGCTGCAATCTGACCACTGGGCATTTCAAATTCTGTTTATAAGTACCCCATCTCTTTGATTCCCACATTTCCAACTGACTCTCTTCCATTCCACCACTGGATCGTCCTTTTCTTTTCCTGTTTTCCTCCTCCTTCCTAGAAGAGTGTGTGTCACTGTGGAAATCCTCCTGAGGATTAACCCCATACAATCAGAAGCACAGGATAGCCCTGGTATCCCTATGTGGTACTGTTGAACATGTTTAGCACATAATATTTTTAATAACATTCCAATAGGCTCAGAAAAAAAATATAAATCATTGGCAAATCCATTTATTTGCAACTTTGGGTAAACTTTACCTCTACTATTTGTTTCAACTATTCAACATTGCATAGATTTTTGGATTATTAACTGGCTGTTAGATTAAATGTTAATTGCTTA